AGCTGTTCATTTTGCTGAGCTAATGTTTTTAAAATCTTGTTATTTTGATTTTTAGACTATGTAGATACAAATGGCAAAGTTATCACTCAAAGATTTTGATAATAAAAAGCATTCAATGAAAACCCACCTAAAAAGTGGCTTAAAATAAAAAAAAGACTGAATAAAAAAATGCTACTTAAATTTTTAGATATTTTAGTTATTAATAAAACCCATTCCTTGTAATTATATTTTATGACATACATTTGTTTTTATAACATTAATGGAAAAATTGTTAATCATTAGGGAGTAAAAAAAAATAAGCCGTTTATCATGATGCTTACAAATATAATTTTTATTTCGAATTTTGGTAAACAAATATTCTTTCTTAAACATTTTAGAACACGAGCACGTGTCTCGCGATATAATTCATACGTAATATACTTTCTGATTATTTATTAGTTTAGAATTAATTTCTCTATATCTACGATATAACTAACTTTTTAAATATGCAATGTTAACTGGGCTCAACAGTAACGCATAATAGTGCTTCTTGTAAAAAAAAATACCTTAATTAATAGCACTATTTACAAATTTTCTATACTCTGCTTTTATATTCAATTCCATCAATTTACGCAAAGAAAAAAATTACAGTCAGACTTGAATTACTACTCTTACACTAGACCTTAAATTTACAAATACTAAGGGAAGGTGTCATGGAGTAGGCGGAATTTCTGGAGAACACAATCGACTAGCCTTTGTAATGCCAATTCGTTCACGGTAACGGTATCACATGGCAAAACAAGGAAAAAAATCTCACGGTTGCATACTCCATAACCAAAAAATATGTATATACACGTCACATTCGCGCGATTAAAAATATCAAATTCTTGTTCAATCACAGAACTTATGAGGTCAACGGAGACATTCCAATGCTTCTTGGATCAGGCTGACCTGGCTGTGATGAAGGAACTTGCTGCGGACCAGCTTCCAAGTTTTTCAACAACTGATTTAACCAGTGCTCAGTTGACACATCTTCCTGTAGGCAAGAGGCAAAAGTATTGTCTCTCAGCTGGTCTGGAAGACATTGCCTTAGGGCCAAAAGAGCTCTAAAATCATAATAAAATTTCATAAAACTCTGTGTATACCTTTTGTTACAATTTGATTGGGACTAAAGGACAAATGAATCTCACCGTGGGTTATCAGACAACCTAAGATAACATCTTACAACATGTTTTAAAAGACGGGCAGAAGGATCTTTAGCCAGGGACAAAACCATTTTTCCAAGAATCATAGCCACATGACTAAATCTGTCGTACGTTTGACATATGTATGACAAGCCACTGTCGTCGAGTAAAATTTTCTGCAGAATAAATGTAGCTACCGTTTTACTGAGCTCAGATCCACTTTCCATAATTCGCAGACATAGTGGAATGATTTCTGTGGTTAACAGAAATGTGACGACCTCCTGCTCATCTGTTTTCACAAGAGCTCCAATTACTCCTAAACTAGTCAGCCTTAAATATTCAAAAGGTCGCGTTTTGTTAACTGTATGCAGAAACGGATATAAAAATAATGGAATGTGTGCCTGAAAAATAAAACGATACTCTTAATCAGAATTAAAATTACCAAGTTGTTTTAAAATTGTAGCAACATTTTCAAATGAGTAATAAAATATTTAAAAAAGTTGGTTTAGCGCAAAATATTTTTTCAAATCAAATTAGACAAAGCACAAGAATTATATATAAATTCTAGTCAGTTATATTTAGACTTGGAATTCGAGCTAGAAAGCTAATGATATAATGAAAGAACTAAAAATAAAAACCGACTAGGTTTTAAATACTTTAAAAACCTAATATCAACAATAAGTACTTTATGAAGCATGCTGAGAACCGTCGANATTTATTTATTTTTTTTTTAAGCATTAATTGCACATAACCAAACACTACATAGAATACTATTATGCGGAGTTAAAATTAAGTTTATGTAACAAATGAAAATGTTTGGCGACAAATCAATTGACCAATTATTGAATGAAAAATGCCGGAACCACATTTACTCTCTCACGAAGTGAGTAGCAAAAGTCCAAAAAAGATGGAAAATAAGAGAGAACATAACCAACAAATGGAAAGAATTAAAAAGCGGTGTGAAAAAAAAAATAATAATAAATAAAATACCTGGAGAAACGCAGATCTTGTCTCAGGATGGCTGGCAAAGCACTGAAGCAAGGCCAAAGCGTTGCAGACTCTGTTGCTCTGGTGGGCGGTGAGGGTGGCGGGATTGATGGCCGGGTAAATGTTGATGATCTCCTGGAGAAGTGAAGACACGGTGCCGAACGAGTGCCAGAGCATGGGGGCGAGATCCGGTACAACCTCGCGCTTTTTGCTCAACTCGAGCAGGGCGTTCTGGCGCATCTCTGGGTTAGAGAGCTCGATTATCCAGGAGTAGATTTTCTCGCGGTCGATACTCGCCTGCAAGGACGCCGGGCTCTGCTGCGTGCTCATTTTGTCTCTCACGTTGCCTTAATTGCAGGTGATAAGTATTCAAGTAATGTGAGAAGCCTCGTGGCTCTTTTGATTCTTATGCTCGCACTTGATGATTTATCGTGTGTTCAAGCCTTTGTTTACCTATCAGGTACAATTAGGAATCTCGTTTTTTTTTTTATTTTTGCAATGTAAGTAATTACTTAATCACACTTTTCTTGCGAACGAAAACTAGACAAGAATGAGTCACCGAGCGTTCTAAGTAGGTACAGTCAGGTGTAGTAAGTAGTAAATGCTGTGAACAGTGTGAAACTGTGAACTCTGAAAAATATCTCTGATCACGTACTTAACCTATATTCTTAATATTCTTATTAGACATAAGTAGACTATATGTGGTAGATATATATTGAAATATATATATATACAGTGCAAATGCATGTATATGTATAAATAGGTTTGTTTGGAGTTACGGACTCTTCGGAGGGGTGAGTGTCCGTCAGCACACGTCATCAGCCAAGATGGCAGTCACTGAGCGGTAATTCCAAATGTGAAATTTTCACCAAAAGTGGAAATATATAAATATTATCAGCACAATTTCTTGGGTTTACTCCAGTTAACGAATCTAATAATGAAAACTTTATTTCTCACCATCTACCAAATGCGTATTCCTAACATTCATTGTTTACATATAAATTTTAACCTTGGATTTTAAAGTATAACATGTAACAACTTCAGGATGTAAAAAATATTAAAATCCACGATTTCAAAGTTTCTTACTTTTTCTATACAATAAAAACTGTAGGGACCAGATCTATGAGATTCTTTTCTTTGTTCATAAAAGATTAAAGAATCTATTGAAATAATTTTTATTTGAAAACAAATTTTTTATAATTGTTAATTGAGTTGTTAATAATTTTTTTCCTTTCTGACTTTTCAATTTAAATACGGCTATAAGTGGGTAAATTATACCAGCGTAAGAACAACAACTACAACCCTTCGTTTTATTATTATTATTATTATTATTAATATTATTATAAGCACCACTGTTTTGTAGTTTTCACCAAAAAAACAAATTATTATTAATGTAAACACTAAGTATAGAAACTAATCACAATCGAGCTTGATTTATAAAAGATGAGGGCTTTTTTGATATTTATCAAAATCCTTTATTAGCTATCACATGGATTCTTCGTTGATTCTCGTTAACCACTATTGCTGTACATTTTGTTTTATTTGCTTAAAACTACGTATACATTAAAACTAACATTTATTACAATGAGAAATTATATATAAGGGAATGAACTTATAAAGTAAAAGAAACAAGATATAACTACATCCCAAACATTTGTATAAGTAACCTAAAGCTGCCTAAAGGAAATAGTTAACGTATGACATTTTACCATCGAGTTGAGATGTAAAACAATTTCAACAGTGAAAATCTATTTACACATTACATATATAAAATATACATTGAATGAGATTCTCTTCGATCACAATGTATTATTGTGCGCACCGTAGTTGTAATGTTACGTTTTCTTCATTTATTGCTTTTTCTTTTTTTCAATATTCCATAGAGAGAAAAAATAAACAACTTTTTCAACATATTTTCTCAACATTATCGTAGGTACCAGTTTTTCAAGTTTTTTGACAAAAGAGAGCATGAAATAATATTTATTTCTACAGCTATAAAAATTGACGCGATTTATACATAATACTTATTCTAAAATATACATTTTAATATCACTGTAGGATCAAAATATGAGAGTATAATATGTTCAACAGCTTCGCAATGCTATTGGAAGTACGACATTCATAACGTTTAAAAAAAATCAACATTCCCCGTTATCAATTTTTTTGGGAATAAATTATTTTATTACTTTTTTATTTATTCAGTTTTTTTTTTTTTTTTTTTTTTTTTTNCCGACGACGATGTTTTTCCCCGACGCCTCAAGTAAGAGAGAGAGAGAGGTTGGTTTGGAGTCGAAAAATGCAAGACGGCTGGGGCCATTATACCGTGTACCACACCGTTCATTGTGTCGCGAGCGTGTATATATATATGTTGGGCCAAGACAAACTCGCCGTATATGTATTCCTCGTGGGGTGGGTGGCGCGGGGGGAATCGACGATTTATCGCCCCGGCACGTGTCGCCCTCTTTCCACGTGCTCTGTTGCTCCCGCCGTATGATCTTTCTGTTTCTTCTTTCTCGTTCACTCGTTTTGCGGGTACGTGTGTCTCGTTTAACTGCGCCATTATGTGGCATCGCGAGCAACGGGGCTCGGAGGCTCGAACGCTCCAATGGATGATAATGGCTCTCGGTGGAGTCTTTGATGTGGATACTTGTTCGTGTGTTTGCAGAACTCGCGGGCTATGGTGGATTGGAGCGGGCCTTGGGTGAGTTTTACGGTTTCGCGTTTTTTGACAGAGATTTTTAGGGGTTGCACACTCCATATTTGTTTTTTCATTGGGGAAAAAAAAAAAAAAAAAAAAAAAAAGAAAAGAAAATCGACACCAAAAAGATTAAAAAATCAGAGTACCACCATCACACTGTATGGTATATAGTCGCCGCGCCGTATGTACAAAAAGTAGATACCCGTGCTCTGGTCTCGTTGAAGCTCTCACATGAAAAGATCGGTTTTGGAGGTAATTTTTTTGATGGCGGGCAAAATGCGTATGGACGTGTAAGGCCCGTAGCCCAATGGTATCCTCAGCTCGGTCGTGCTGTCGCGCCTCTCAAAGTAATCGCCGGCCGCGGCTTCCTCCTGTTGCTGCTGGTGCAGGACCAAAAAGGCTCGGGCTAGCGACCAACAGATCACCCCGAGACCAAAGACACCGAAAACGATCGCGAAAATCGTCTGGCCAACCGGTGCGATCGTTATCGCCAGTCTCAGCAGGAACATCAAGTTTGGGGGAATCTCGGGGATCACCTGATGAAAAAATAATCATCGTCTCAATGGACATGGACGCGTCAAAGTTTGTGATTAAGAAGGAAAAACAAAAAAAATGTACGCACATGTATCGGCCAAACGGTTACATAAGCCGATGTGTTCGCGATAGTATGCACCGTAAGCACATCGGCACTGGAAAAACCCTGCACCCGAAGAGATTGCGAAAAATCCCGCGATAAAAAACAACGCGCGAGAAGGAGAGAAAAGTGAAAAAGGAATAAAGAAAGCACTGCACGCATGATAATTGCACTTTACACCGCGAGTATATGACGACACGCGATGTAGATAATATGTGTACTCACGAGATCGGTCCAGAAGAGCGGCACCGTCAGGTTGTTGAACGGCTTGATCTTGGAGTTGTAGTACGTCTCCTTCATCATAAGGTTCGTCTGTAGCCTCGAGTGCACGTACATCGGGATGCCGAGGTTCTGTGGAAGGGAACGATTAGTCGCGTCGCGTGTACACATCATATTATATGTACGAATGTATTGGGATAAGTGTGACGATCGGTATGTAAAACGATCGGAGGGGTATACAAAGACGAGCTTACCGGCTGCAAAATAATGACGGTCTCGTGCTTCTCGGGATCGGGATTGAGACCCTCTATGCCGTCGGATACCGATGGATCGGCATTGAGGAAGTGCGGCAGAGACGCAGCTGCTGGAATGTCTGGTGGAAAAAGTATTTGGTTTTTCCATTTCATCTTTCAACATCAAACGAACGACTAGTGCATCAATCCCGACACGCTCGGTACAATGGGTTGAAGTAAATTATTGGAATGCAAATGGAAAAAAAAATAATTTTGTCGCGATGGAACTGTCGCATCTGGATTCATTCTATATATGGCATGAATTTCACGATCGATCGTTAAGGTTCTCCCGTACACCATACAATTATAAGTACAGATAACCATTTATTCGCGTCTGATTTGTCAGGAAAATATTTTACAATTAACGCGAGCACCCCACATGACGTCGCACTCTCGTGTATACACGCGGTTCACGGTCACTCATCTCCTTTCTCTCGAAATTGCGCGCAAACGTGTATGTACACAACGCAAGGATAAGAGAGAGCCTCCTGGAATATCCCGCTCTTACCGCCAATATGATTCGGCATGGAAAGCCCGAAAATCGATGGAAGTGAGGGGTATTTTTTTAATCCAGCCATAGCAAATGTTTCGTTATACACCTTCGTTTACTCGTTCCTACTTTGCATTAGTATTGTTTTTTTTTTTTTTTTTTTTTAGTACATTCTCCTTTTGCAGAAATGTTCAGTTTTCTTTTTTCCGGTGCCTGAGTGGCTTTCATTATTATCATCATTTCTTAATTTTAAAGCAACATTTGACTCGAATATTCATGGTATTCATTACTTTCGGCGAAAAGATCAATACACATACTCTTGCCATTAAAAAAAAAAAAATAAATAAATAAATAAAAAAAGAATCTTTTCCCCGCGACAATTGTTGTACATAAAATACAAACGCACTCGCACATTGTGTTGCACAACGCGTCGTCCCAAATGCCTTCTTTATTATATACAGCTATAACTTCCGTTCTACTTTTCAAACGCGACAAAAAAAAAAAAAAAAAAAAAAAAATCGTGTTACACAACATTATGAATTTTCCTTTTTTTTCCCCACTCACGATACACGTTCATATTTTTATCACTTCAACTAAGCATGAAAACTCGCGTACGTATTATCCCTAATAAATGTGTACAGGATAATAAATATATAGGTGTACTAACTGTAATAGCAAGGGGTCAAGTCGAGCAGTCCCCGCTTGAGGCAAGTCCTGTCCCGGCAGAAGCACTCGTTGTCCGGATTTTGTTCCGGTGGATCGGCAAAGTTGTCGGGAATGCCGTACTGGTACCCTGGCAGTCCGTCCAGGTTCACCTCCTTGACGAACGCTATGGGCATTGGTCTGCAAAAAGCTTTCCTGAACACCCTGAACACCGCCCTTCTGTCCATCATCGTCGGAAATACCGTGCCCTCGGTTGCCCCCTGGATCCGATTGCATTTCGTGTTTCTGCAAACAAACAAATGTACATGCACACGTGTTCGGTCGAAAAAGGGGACATTTCGATAGCTCAAGGTGATACTCACTCGGGCCGGGTCTGGTTGCCCTCTTCCTTGACGTAGCCCCAGATCGAGAGCCCAGGGTTGCCATTGTACGACTCGATGCTCAGGTAGCGGCCTCTCTCCTCGAGCATGTCCTCGTTGCCCTTGACGTTCATGTTTATCACGTTCGTACCTTCGTCGTACATCTGTTGGCGTTTTCGATAGTTTTTTTTTTTTTTTTTTTTTTTTTCCTTTTTCGGCCCTTACGTAATCGATAAACAATCTCCTATCGTGACCCACGATCGCGCAAAGAAGAAAAAAAAAACGTCCATCCGACACGATACTCGTATGACGAGATGGATGATAATTTTCAGTGAGTTTTTTCTTTCTTAAATTTTAAGTCAGCGGGGCAAAAAATCTATCAGCTGATACGATCCAGTTTTCCCTGTATCCGTCTCTACGTACACCTGCGACTGGTGTATAGTGTAGTTCTTTGCTTTTTTTTTACCTTTTTCTCTCGCTTCTGATCAAATGAGTTTTCAAGCGCGTGTTGCAAACGGAGGGGAAGCCCGACTTGTTTCTCGGGTTGGAAGTTGGCCTTGAAATCGTGAAAAGAGCGAAAAATTCGCGCGTGCGCGCATAAAAGGAGAGTGACAACTTTTCCACGGAGCCTCGGTATGACTTATTTTGTTTTGAATTACCGAGAAAAAGATAAAAAGAAAAAAAAAAAAGACCGGTCTCGCACGCGCGGTTGGGACGTTTCTTTATTTCTTCTTCTTCGCATTGAACGCCAATCACTCACTTTCGTGGTACATGGATGTATCGGTGAGGTGAAACGCTTGTTTGGTAAGCGTATTAGCATGCCCAACTCACCCGATCGAGGAGTCCAAATTTTCGGAAGGTGATGTATTTCGGCACGACGCTCCCGGCGAGATAGACCATCGGGTCGTCGTAGCCCCACAGATAGTCCTGCACTGTTATGTTCAATATTGGCATGGCGTCCAAGAAATTCGACAACTGGATGAACGGATAGTTGACCAAGAAACCGGCGTCGTGCAGGGCTGACGAGACACCCTGTAAAAAGAAAATCGAGAGGAAGTTTCACTCGGAGCCACGCCGCTTGATCGACATCGGGGATTTTTTATACTATGATTATAATTTGTAAATAATGTTTGAAGCCGGATTTTGGCTCACAAATTTCAGTAACTTTAGGTAGGTACTTTCATTTACTGAAATTTCTCATTATATTTAAACCGGTAAGGTTTACAAATCGTATGTGGTCGTGGTATGTTGCGTTAATGTTTTCTTGGATGAAAAAAGAAAAGAAACATTTTTTTCATTTTCCCTAATTTGTATACGTTTAAATTTAATTTATTTCTTCCAATAATCAGGTGTTTAACACGCGAACCGATAACTTTTCAGGTAAGTTTCAGCAATCGTTAAAAAAAATGTTAAGTGTATAAGAAGCGTTTATTGTTCGTATGGGTTTTACGACTTCTTTTATGACCATCCTGGCTTTATAAGAAAAATTATTGAACATCATATCTTACACGATGGGTCATTAAATTTTTTTTTTCATACTAATATTCCCGGCTAAATTACAGTTTCTTTACATTTTAATGAACCGCTTAAGAAATAATTAAAAAACAATTCATAAAAATTTTCTGGTTAAATTGCAATATACTGATCAATGACCCCCAACTATGAATACCAGTAACAGTACAAATAATAACAGAGTAGTGTTTGCTCAAAATTGCTAGTAATGACTTGTACTTGAGTAATTAAATTCACAAACGTGACTTTAATATCGATTTTTTTTTTTTTTTTTTTTTTAATAACCTAATTTGATAAACGTGTTAAGAAATTAATACTACAATTGGCTCGCTAGCTATACTGTACACATATGAATCAAATATACGAACGTCAAATAAAGAGTAGTTAATATATTCGAGTATGGAATACATATATCAAAGATTTGGTCATCGAATCCTTGTTTTAGATTGTACTCATACATAGATCAAAGATTTTTAAATTAAATTATCGTTAAATCGTCGGTTATAAATAATTTTCCTGTATCAGCGTATTTAATATCACACTTTGAAAATGATGTGTCTAGCACTTGTCATTGCAACGTTGATAAGTTGGAGTTAACAGTTGACGCAACAAAAATTAAATAAAAATGACATGATCTTATCCACTGATGATTGTAATAATGAATTAAAAAAAAAAAAAAAAATCACGTCATCAATCGTTGATTAATATCAAATCGAATAACAACACGTGTTATTGTTTATTTCTGGAATAATTGACGATGTTAATCATCAGTCTCACCATTTTTTATTGTCATTCAAGTGATAATAACTTACTCCACTTTTATTGGTACGAATTTTTTGCTGCTTCCGATCAAAAGACATAATTGAAGTGCAACGATAATAAACTGAATGTAGTGTCAGATGCGCTTAGGTAACAGCAATTTTTTCCCCCTTTTAATTCTAAATTTTATCTTCCTCGAAAAAAAAAAAATTCCACGTTAAAAAATAACTCCATGACAAATTCGTAAGCCCACCACTTCCCCGCAACAAAAAATATGAATTTCAATGCGCAAACAAGCGTGATTAAGCGGAATCTCGCGTGTCGGCCACGGCTCATTAATTTCAACCTCTCGTTTCGTCACGCAAGGATGAGCTGCCCGCACGCGTTCGCTGAACCCTACGCCGCACGGCTCAATGACGCACGACGCTCGAAACGATTTTTATTGACAAATTGTCCTGCACGATTTACTCTCATGAATAAACGAAGCAAGTCGAGCTATGAGCATTATGATTGATTAGCAGAGGATGACTTTGTTCTTTTTCTTTTTCTAACACTCACGAGCATCACGATATTGGGAACCGACACGTAGATCTCTTCCGGAATGCCGATCGACATCTCTGGCTTGAACTCAACCGATCGTTTTGGTATGTAGGTGAGCGTGCCGTTGTCGTGCCACGTTACGTTCTGGTTCTCCAGTATTTCTCTGGAAAATTGTCGAAACTTGTTAGACCGGAGCCTCGGTTGGGCGCGTTAGATTCAGCAAAAAAAAAAAAAAAAACCTACTGGTAAACAAAGGGACCGATTTCTTCGATCTTGAGTTTTTCCTCGCCACTGAGGAACGCATCGGTGTTGGTCACGTTGAATATATAGACGTAGACGTAAACTGCGATCGGTGGCTTTTGCCAAATGGAAAATGTCAACGACGTTGGCGACATTTTCAACTTCTGAAACATCAAACAATCAATCATCTCATAACTTGAAAATTGTATATCTTTCCCCCCTCCCCATTCCCCGATAAATGTGAATTCTGCGTGACGTCTAAGCAATGCAGCTTGAGAGGCCACGGAGAAGGTAACTATGAGGTAAGAGATGAAGAATAGAAATGGACCTGAATGAGACTCTCCGAGGGGGAGAAGAAGAAAAAAACGGTCATTAAAAAATGCCACTCTACATCGAATCAGAAATAAACATAAATCCTTCCAAACCAGTTTTTTTTGTTACTCACATGTTGCACAATCATTTTTACGGGATCGACTACGTGAATGAGAAGAGCGACGATGCTGCAGGTGATACCGATCAGAAACAACAGGATGCACCCTGAAACACAAGAAAAAGACAACCATCATTCAGCTTTGCTAGCTTTTTTACAAGGCATTGGGGAAAAAAAAAAAAAAAAAAAAAAAAAAAAGCTTAACTTGGACACGAGTCGTGGGGAAAAACTTGACTTTCTCGATCCTGTCAATTTTCTTGAAACATCCACTCAGCACAATGTCATCAGCGTCAACAAGATGTATTGCGTGTTTATTTATATAACAAATCGATTACGCGGCGCCTAGCGAAAAAAATCGGTCGAATTATGATAAACTGCGGTACTTTCTACCGATGACATTGAGTTGCGGAGTCTGCAAAAAACCGGCAGTTCCTCTCCTCCCTCTCGCGAGTTTCTCAAGAGCAAAGCGCGATCATTGGCGCCCAAGGGTCTTTTTCATAAATTTCCATTAATTGCCGCCTTGAATGAACTGCGTCTATCGGTAGGATCCGGAGCTGGTGCGTGCTTACTCGAAAAGATACATGCGACCGTACACGTGATGGTTACACCACTGGTGAACGCACATTTTGCTGCCGGTCATGAGCCCTACGGTGTAGGTATATATCATGACTTACTAACTGGACACGTCATTTTCGCACGTCACACTTTTTTGGCTCCGAAAACGACTCAAGTGTGGCTCCCTGTACACTGCATGCTTTTTTTTCAATACGTGCACGGTTCCTCGTGCGCTCGGCTTATGAACGACACTTCCATTCGACGTATCGGTTTATTCAAATTACGTCGTCCGATGAAACATATTTGACTAATTGAGGATATGTATAACTGCCAATTAAGCTCGCGTTGGCAGGTTTTTTTTTTTTTTTTCATTCAAATAGATTTTCCTAAATTAAGGTGGCTAGATATTCCGAGATACACGTTTTTGTGCGATTCGATGAATAAAATATTATTGGTTTTTTTTCGCGCTTTTTAAGTTCAGTTTGCTTATCGAAACGCTTGTACGTACAACGAAGAAAATTACGTTGCGAAAAGTTGCCAAGTTGGAATAAATTCATGATACATCACGATACTTTCTGCAGTTTTTCCAATAACGCCGTTATCGTAGATAAAAAACAAAAACAAAAAAACGGTGAAAGTCTTATTGCATCGCAATGAAATTTGTCGATTGGCTTTAATTATATCTTAAACGTATCTACATGTGATAGGCTGTATTATAAGCTTGCATTTTTTTTACTTAATTAAAAACATACATTTATGTGTTTTTTTTTTTTTTTTTAATAAATTTTTGCAAAATTAGACGTATTTTGTACCCTTTTTAAGGTAGATGCATCAAAAAGTAAAATTTATTGGTCAAGACCAGTGCATATTGTTGCTACATTAATACAATAAATCGTGGATTCTTTAAAATTTTCTCCTAATCTGTTGATTCATTGTATTATTCATACAAAAGAATAACACTACAAATAATTTAAAAACTCTAATTAATGCGATTAAAAGTTCATCAAGGCTATAGTAGCTAGCACATAGGTTGGAAAAATTTTTTTGGATTACTAAAGGTTTTTAGCGTAAGTATTAGTCTAGGTTTATTAAAATTGGATTTTAATTGAATCATTTCATAGTAAATGATGTTATTTCCTCATATAAATGATATGGTAATCGATGAATTTGGAAAACGTAAAGGTGAAAATTTACCTCACGACTGTGACACAACTACTTTAAAATTACAATGATTATACATTTTAATTAAACTATCAATCCTTTAAACACTGTGATACGACTATCTTAATAATATTGCCTAAGGAAAAATATTTTATAAGACGATTTATTATTTCCAAGCATTACTTTTCATCCAGACATATGACAGTTGTAACGAGTTACTTATTACAACAAATAAACATACTTATGTTTAAAACGTATGATTTATTAAAAACATTGGCTTTTATTTAATTAAATTGGTTGAAAAAAATTATAATGCAAGTACGATGGTAAAACAACAAAGCGTACGTACTTCTCGTGAAAATGTCCAAGTATTTACGCCTCGTATAAAAACATCGTTGTAAACATGGATGGCTCTAGATCGCTTTGAAGTTCAAACCAACTTCGAAAGCAACGATGTTTTCTTATTTCTCAGATCTCGTTTCCTTGCAACTAACTTGTCCTAATGAACAACATTGACCACGTCAATGCAAACAACTACGTACCCATGACGCTGAGCGTTGTCGTGACTTTTTTTCGATGTTCGTCAATAATTTATATAAAACATTGTTCATGCAATTGAGATAAAGTATAATGATGCATATTTGCATGTTTATATATGCTTATACAATTAAGATAAAAAAAAATGAATGAAGCTTATTTGAACAACACTGTTAGTTACTATGAAAAATTTACATTGCAAAGGACTGTAACAAAATTAAAGAGGATAGGTTGCATTTAAAGATGTATCCATCATTTTTACGGATGATACACTATGTGTGTGAATTTATTTTAAATTTTTAACTCATACGTTCATTACTCGAGAAACTCCGGTACTTTGAAATACAAATGATTGATTAAAAACATTTATTCGCAGTTAATTAAGTGGTTAAATTTTGGAGAAAATAACTCCTTGCATACAAGGGGTACACGCCAGACATAAAACAAATGGTATAACTTAAATCTATGCTCGTGTTACAAAATGCTATAATTGCGTTGTAAACAAAATAATATGAATATGTTTTCTGCAAAAATAGTTTTTACTTTCTATTGAGTTATAAACTTTTTGTTTAACACTTTATCAGATGATGTTAGTTTGTTTTCCTGTCTTTGGCAAAAAAATTCTTTTTGATTCTTTGATCTACAACTTTTGTATTTTCGTCGCTGAAAGTTAATTACTTCATCTTATGGGAACAAAAAACAATTTTTTAACTCTTTTTATTTACTTTGGATATTTTTAACGTATGTAGAACTCCTCACACAAAAGTGTTATTAACAAGAAAGTTTCAGGATAGGAGATTCAAGAGTTTTGTCGAAACGTATTGGTGTGAAAGTCGTCTATTGTCAAAATTATAGCTGAAAAGCGAATTTTTTTTTTTTTCATGACAATGACGTAAAATACTTTAGACCACCCTTATTCCGTATTAATCAAGAATCGTTTGTTGTGACAAGTGTTTTTTTTTTTATAAGTCACAAGACTCACTTTGCTCTAGTAAAAATACAAAGCCCTCCCGTGTAGAAGATGCATGTGCATATAAATAACATGGAAAAAAAAAAAATACCCCATAAAAACAATATAAAATTGCAGACTGGTAATGGTAATTACCAATGATTCAACCTCAATACCGATGCGTCAAACTTGACGTTAAATATCTGTCTACGAACTTAACCTCAGTTGTTGAAGAAAAAAAGAAAAGAAAAAATCACGGCTATCTACGTGATACTCCATTACTATTTACAGCAACAACACAATTTACTCCGACCGTTGAGCCAACAACAAGACGAAGTGATGCCCAACCGATCCCCAAAACCTTGAACTTCCGGTCGTGCGTCCACGTAGGTACTCGTATAAAATGCACATAACTTACCGCCAATTACCAGGTCAACAGGAAGCACCAGCCGGCCAGTATGAAACTACCCGCCGACACGCGTCGCTCTTTCTTTTCCACACACACACTTGTCTGTGCACTCCTGGACTCGCTTACCTTGACTCAGATACATCGGGGCTCCCCACAGGCTACGGGCACAGGTATCGGCTTTGGCTTACATAAAAACGTCATTTGGCACGTTGTTACACGGGCATTATGTGAAATCGCGTGAATTTGCAGGGACCATAGTACCTACCCGAGGGTTAATTGGAGTAAGAGCAGTGTGGTCCAGAGAGACAAGCTGCCGGGTCTTGTTTGCTTCAATACAAAATTGAAAGGATTTTCAAAGTATACGAAAAGTGACTCAGTACCATTTTTTTTTTTTTTTTTTTTTTTTTTTTTTTCAGTAAAACAAAAAAAAAGAATTGGCTTACGAAACGACTGGAATCGCCATTACTATACACATGACAACCTAAGGTATAGGAAGAAACAAAAAAAAGTTTACTCGTGCGGGACAAGAAGGTGATGACCAACTACGGACAAAAATTTCAGGAATAATTACGATGCCGCGCCATTGAAATGTTGTTTTTATCACGCGCATATATCGACTTTGCAAATCACTCATCCATCTTTTGGCCTTCCATCGGTCACTTTTTTTTTTTTTTTTTTTCAACTCGACATCTCTCTCTTTTAAAGATCGTCAAAATTCGATCTGCGGCGTATTATTAACCTCGACCTCGAACTCATTAATGAAAATCGCCGCGCGTACCCATACAGATAACCCAAACTCGCGCGAGCCCGAGTAAGATGGAAATTTTCCATTTGCATGAGGTCCTCGAACACGCATCAATTTCATTCAAGGAAATTCGTGTGGCTCTTTTTTTCTCCTACCTCGAGCAAACTATATGTACATGACACATTGTGACCAAAGGATGAAAAAAAAAAAAAAAAAAAGAAGAACAGCTGGAAAGGACAGCCAGTATAGGTTGCTATTGAAAGGACGAGGTAAGAGAGGGGAGGAGGATTTTTTTGTTTACATTGCTGTAGTCGCGAATTGAGTTTGGAGTGGAAATTTCTCCAATCGGTAAAAAAAAAAAAAAAACTTTAAATTACATCAGTAAAAGATGTAGGAATGATCGAGGCATTCCAGAAACTACTCCAGCTGGAAAACTATGTTTACACTTGTCGTGATCTATGACTTGCCTATCGTTTATTGCTACGTCTGCACTGATTGATTGGGAAAAAAAATAATAATAAATAAAAAAATAATCATCAAAGTTGCGTATTCGTTACCGATCGGCGATAACGATTTTATAAAGTGATAATTACCGCTGTGCAATAAATGTAGTTTTCGCGCTTGCGAACTTTATCCAAAGCACAGAGTATATAACACGCAACTGCTGCCAGACACAAGTTTTACACCAGTTATCGTAGGAACGATGATCAATGATCAAACCATCGGCAATTATTAAAACACTGTACAGATATCATCCCGAAGCGCAAAATTACGTAGCTATTCGCACATTATACATTATACATATATTATGTATCAGCAACAAAACTCAAAAATGCAGTCCAGCAATCCGTCGATTATTCAACTTTATGGCAGCCAATTCTAATCTGTTACGCAATGGAAACATAAATGATTCGCGCACCATCGTATATTATAAAGTTTATGCGCTACAGCATGAGCACACATAAAATACACGTACAGCACAGTCACGTAGTCATTATTGAACTTTTTTACTTTTATTTATTATTATTTTTATTATTATTTTTCTTTTTCTTTTTTTTTTACTGTTTCTCGCTCCGTACATTTTTATACAATGACCACATTGCAGGTATACGTGTACTAAGGTGCATTGAACGGAACATGAATACATGCACTTTCCAGTGTATCGCTTTGCTTTCGCTCGCCAATACCGCCGACGTTCATCAATTTTGCGTTGCTTTTTTGTTTTTTATTCGCTTGTTTTTTTGACGTTAATTGAAATTCCGCGTGATCAAAGAGTCCCACAGGTGGTTTGGAAAACCAAACATGGAAATGACGTCGATTCGCCTGTGCTCGAGCTCTTCGCGAACTTTGGTGATTACGCGCGCGATGTTTAGCGATCAAGATCTAACGAGTGATTAATCACTAGCAGTACATTCGCTTGTACGATTGTGTAATCGGTTTCGTAAGCTACCCCCCGATTAGTGAGACCAATTGTATTCGACTAATGGACGTGGTATTAGCGTTCGACGAAAGTATCCGTCAAACCGTATGCTAATTCGGCCAAATGGTTTGCTATACCCGGTGTCTATTGTTGTTCTTGAAAAAAGATGTCTGGACTGCATTTCGTTGATTCTTTTTTTTTCTCACGTCCCTGAGGCGAGATTCAAGTTCAACGCAACAATCGGAGGTGAGGAAAAAAATGTTGACGCGTTCGGCGTAAGTGGTCAGTATCATCGGTCCAAATAGGACGTGCTATTGTCATTTTTTTTCGACTATCTCTTCTTATTGGCGCAGTAAGTATATTCAGGGGTTTGCAAGCTCTTACCTAACGAGACTGATCGATTAGTCCACGGTTTTTTAGTGGTCCGAACGTGCATATTTAAAAAAAAGCCTGGAAAAAAATATCGTTTGCCTTTTTTAAAATAAACGGAAAAGAGTATCGTGTTCTAGAATCTTCGAAATAAACTTTGCAACGGTTGATAATCAAGTTATTGAAATAAACGCTTCTTCCTCTAACTTTTCCCCCCAGTTTGCATCAAGATTCATAATTGCGTTACATTCCAGACCAAGATAACCGTGCATAAAGAGCCAAACGATATGTTTCTTCTCAAAAATAACTATGGCACTTCAGTGCCACATAATAATTTCATCCAGTTGATAGTTCCACATTTTGATGTCACGTGGAAAAAAAAGAAATAAATTTAAAAAAAAGATCTTGTTTGAACGAATTAAAACAATAAAAGAAAGTGACACCTTCCCATTCACTACTTCTTGCCACAGTCACCAGCTACATTTTGTTGTAACCGATATCACACGGGAAATAGTTCTAGCTATAAAACTATTTTCAACAAAGGCAAATGTCATCGCCAATAACGAACAATTTGTGTACACCCTCTTGTGCATTTTATCACCTGTTGCATCCCTTTTCGTGTTAATATGTAACTATTCGAATAAAAAATAACTGTGCATCGGATATTTGCCAAATTTACCAGATTCGAGTCGGAACAAACAAAAAAAAAAAAAAAAAAAAAAAAAAAAAAAAAAAAAAAAAAAGAAAAAGTTAAATAAACATTGAAATTAAACAAAAATAGCACCCTGATAAACGAATAACTGATAAATCAACAGCTGGTGCAGATAACACTCGCATTGTAAAAAAGGCGGGATTCATTTACGAGGTGTGATAAATCAACGCAGAGAAGAGAGAGTGCATTAACATTTGGTGAATAAAAATGCGAATTCAAAGTCATCGGTAATCAACGTCGTGAACTTTCGCAAAAATAACAACAAACCCCCCGCCATCAAGCGCCGCGTGCATTTGCGCGGAAGAAAAGCCGTCGCGCTCGAGAGACGAGACCGGCGATTAATCGTCAAAGTGTCGCCTCTCGAACGCCGAGTGCATCGGTATTTCTCCACAATCGTTTAGTTACAGATACTCTCGGGATTCGTCGTATCTCCGTCGAGCGCAGTTCAACGTTTTTCGTACGACTCTCCCTATATAAGTACAATTGGCCTGTATCCCAAGGTATAAATGTCGATGCCGAGTATATATAGGTACACATTAAATTGGTTGCTCAAGCGTATTACTGTGGGTAAACAAAGTGTACTTACTTCGGTACTGCTGGATCTCGATGGGGGACTTCATGGTCGCCGTGGGTTTCAATGGCCTTGCGAAAATTTCCCGTCGCCTGGAACAAATATTAAAATATATATACGCACTGCAATGTAATTATTTCGTTTCGTATGGCATTCCGCTTTTAACGCAACATAACGTACAACGTTGCAAAACTCAATAGAAGACAACAACTTCCTGGTGTCGGTATACGTTTGGACAACATCAGGAATTTTTTTTAATTTGCTTCTCGCCTCGATGTACGTTTCCTTATCTCGTCTCAACAACGGAAGAATGCAGTTATCTCTTTTGGACTCCTTTCGAGTCAATTTGCATGCCATAGTGGTCTAATTTTTTTACCAATAATTTTACGGTAATTTCACTATATCATTTTAATAAATGAAATTCAATATTATTGTTGCCTGGAATGATCTTAAAATAGCTTAGTCCTTCAATAATTTTGTGTTTTGCCACGACTCGTTACATGAAAATTCACCTAAAAAGCATCCAAAAGTAGTTTTTGGTCCTGATAAACAGCGAAAAATTTTAACATTTTCAAAACGTTATTACATACATAACTCTTTTAACAAAGTTGAAAAGTACAGTAATTCAAGGCTAATAATTGTATACTGGAGTATATTTTAAGAAAAAGATATGACTTTCGCGAGTCGCAACAACTGAATATCGTTCTCTCTTTCGACTGTGAAAATTTGCTAATCGCCGATTTTTAAGACTCACTCAATGCCTTTTGATCAATGCAAACGACGTATTTGTCGATTTTATCGGTTCTCGATGCATTTTCCGCATAAGGGAAAAAAATCCGCGGCAAAAAGTCCACGAGTGCCCCCCCTCCCCTACTTCCCCATCCCCATTATCGAGTGATAATACTCATAAATAATTTAAAACCGATTTAAACGGAGTGGCATTTCCATCGCGCGCTAATTTTCCTTTTTTCCATCCCAAGTGTCATACAAATGAATTCGTAATGTCCCAGTGTATACCGTGACGATTTCCCAATGTACATACATGTGTGCATAATATATATGTCATCGCATTGCAGAAACAAGTGCGTATTTTAATGTACGGCGCGCGTCGCGTAGCTCTTATTTATTAGAATATTCCATTTTCTCTCCACAGTCGAAGGAAAAAAAAAATATATATATAGACGACTTGGTATCATTGAACTTGTACTTCTGAAGGTACAGTGAAAAACGTGTAACCTACAACACTCCGACTGCATTGAAAATCCCAAAGCAAAATTTCATTCACTGCACTCGTTGCTCGATATTGTAATTGCACACGTTATTCACGTATCGCCGGTAGGCATTACTACGTTGTCTCCGTAAAGTTGGACAAAACGAAGGAGGAAAAAAAATCTCTTTTAATTATCAAACCAGAAGAATTTATTAAGTTGAAACTTTATCGTTCGAAAAGCGCCGATTGTTAATGAATATTTTTGTTTTCTTCCGGCACTCTCGGTCAAACGACAACACATGATGTAACCCAAATGAACAAAAAAAAAAAAAAAAAACGTATTATATTTACGAAAACGCGTACAAAACAACACCTTGATTTATATTTGTTCCATTGTACGAGATATTGAAAAAAAAAAAGTTCTTTTTCTCTGCCCAAACGATATCGATCGGATCAACAAGAGCAACGAAGCAAAACTATCGTTTCGCCGCACGTCACGTGCCGATGTTCGTGTTTACTTGTAGATTCTGCACGAAGTATAACAAAACTGCGATGAATAATACGTTATATAAAATTTCATTGACAACGTGCCTTTTTTTATAATTACAAGAGTCACGCTTTATCTTTTTACTTGCAAACAACGCGCGGCGAGGCTCCATTCGACCATGACAACAAATAAATTTTTTTCGTCCCACACACGAAGCCACAATTATCAAAATTATCGTTCCCATAGTGACAAGTTTCGGACAGTCCCAGCACGGACAATTGAAAATGTTTTCGAGTCAACATACTCATTATCCTCTGCTCGTCGTACCTACATTTCAGGCGTGGAATGATGGATGCCCGTGGCTGATTATCCAGGGAGATACCTAATTCGCGCACTCCTCGTGAATTTTGATTCTCGTCGAAGAGTGAATCGTTTGACGGTTACAAACCGCGATGAGCTCCGATGTGTGTGTGTGTGTGTGTGCACATTATTGACGGAAAAAGAGAGCGATGAAGCTGCATGAAGGTTACTGTACCAGAGATACGCGTTAGCGTCATTTAGTCTCTTTTTTTTTCTATCTTTTGCACGCGATTGTTGACTGACTCCTAGAGATAAGGTGGACCGAATGATGATGACGATGACGGCGACGATGGTGGTGGCTCTTATGTGCGAACGTCGAGCACTGACGTAATACTGGACTAATACTTCTTTCTACTTTGCTTAGAGCAGAGCTGTTATTATTATGTATATATTTTTAGAGACCGATTTTAGGAAGTAATTTTTGAGTACCGATGTTCTGTCTCGGAAAAAAATACGACTTTTTTATTTTACTGAACGAAAGTATCGGGTTACTTGATACTGGTGCTGATAGTTACGAGTATTGTTAAAATTATTCAAAAAATTGGATTTTATATTTAGTGTTCAAACACATCGGATCAGATTTGTATTTTTTCTGTTGAATATATATTTGCAAAAAAGCGGAAAAGTAATTGTTTTTAATTTTAAGTGAAAAATTGTTAATAAGTTGATACCAGAACAACTGTTGTAACAAAAAATTCGGGTGAAAGTAATATTTTTAAATAGAAGCTAAGTGTAATGAAAAGGAATGCACAATTTTGACAGCAGAAATTTTTTTTCTCGATTTGTTTGCATGATAAAAAAAAATTAAAAAAAAATTAAAAAATTTAAAAAAAATAGTTCCAACGTTAAAAGTGAATGGACCTTCGAAAGTTACGTACGAATGTGGAAATAAAATATTGTAAAACAATCTTTGTAAACATAAAAAAAAATATGCATACGTATATGTAATATGTTATGTGCCCTACACATTTATATTATCATGCACGAATGTATCGATTACCAATAAAAATAGCAAAAGGAAAAAAATATTTTTCCAACTACAAAGATTTTGTACAAGACTGGTAACTCTGATAATCTTCTAGAAACTTAATTCGCGTGATAGTAAGTGTAGCAGGTAATACAAATTCACGCGAAGTGATTGACACGATAGGTATAAGTATGTATCGAAGAAAGGAGGAGCAAATAATCGGCTAATATTTTCAATCAAATTTGTCTGAAATCCTGCATTGCTTGTCACGAAAGGCAAATCTTTATTTACAATGAAAACACACTTTTCATTGTATTTAATCATGGGCTCACTCGAACATCAGCGTTTTTATCAACCAGATAATTTAATTTGTCAGCAAAATTCAGCGAAATCGTGTAACATCATGGAAAACCAAACCAAGTACCACCATCACCCTGTTCCTAAGTTAAAAAAAAAGAAAAGAAAAGGTTTTCTCTTCAAAATAAAATCTTGGAACTGGTCCCTGCAACGGTGGACACCAAACAAAGCAGATTAACCCAGATTTATAAAACATGTGCAGAAGTGGACCCCAAAAACACGGAATCTCACGCATCAGAGGACAAGCACATACATCTGGGTGTACGAGCGGTGGGGAAAAAAAAAAAAAAAAAAAAAATTACGTAAGTAATTACTGTCGTAGGGAAAAGAGAGAGAGAGAGAGAAAGTTATGCAAGTGCAGAGTATTGCCAAAGAGCGCCGGTTATGCGTGTGAGAGAGAGCCAAGGGGCCGCGTTCGGTCGTCGTACCATCGGCCAGTTGCACCTGGGTCCGATACACTGTAAGTACCACAGCCACATGTGCATTATACATTTTCCCACTCTTATTATTTCTCTTTCACCTGTATACGACTATGGCACACGTAAAAGTATATGTTGTTACACGTGTACGGGAGAAAAGGAGCGAATGGACGAACGTTTGTGTGTGGGACACGCGGGTCGCCGAATAAGCGCGCGTACCTACTTATAGATTGTAACAACCTTATAATCAAATTCGTCACGATCGAAGTTTAGAGCGCGCTATGCGGATGAGCGCGATTAAGTGTACACGCGTACCAACTTACAAGTACGGGTTTGCCGATCGGCCGGTTTTCACGCGAGGAAATTGTTTTCCAGCCGGGCTTTTCGGATTTCGGTGAAAGTTGCGCGGTTGTTTTTTTTTTATTTTTTTTTTCATCCTTTTTCGCTGGAAAACTAGTTTACAACTAACGACGAGTCGAACGTTAATTTAATCTGGACCCCGAATCTTTGGAGCGGTGCAAAACTAACGGGAGTAATAATAATAATAAACGGCCGATTGTTCGGTGGAGATGAAAAATTTCTTCGCCGTTTGCTCCTTACGAGAGTAGGTTTCTTTTTTCCTTTTTTTTTGTCCATGTGCAAACAGAAAATCTGGAAAATTATATAATAAGCCCGCGTTGGACTTTGGAATAGATTAGTTTCTGAGATCTGTCCGATAACATAATGTTCCATTTCATTTACATGTCCAAATTTACGTTTACACGGTTATACATTGAAATTTGCGGGGGAAAAAGACTATACGAATTTTATCTGGGGGTCGATTGAAATATCTTTGGGAAAATAGGCTGTCGAATCGGTATTGCATTTTTTTTAATCGGAGGAAACTGAATAGTAGGCACTAAATGAATCATCGATACATTTATCTTCGTTTAATATAAAATATGAGTTATTACAACACAAATCAAACCATAAAAAATTTAAAACCCTTAATGGCTTCACGATAGTATCAGCTCCAATGTTAACAAAAAAANAATTTAGAAAAAAACATTTAATTATCACTGTAATTACAACTTGACAAGAATACATACAAAAATTTGATGGTATTACAATTATTATAAAACGTAATATAATACACAAACGATCGTATTATTGACATACTGATTCCGATTTCAGAATATAACTTAAATTTTTTTTTTATTCCTATGCTGAAAATAAAAAAAGAAAAATAAAAAAAAAACAATAACACGTGGCTGCAAAATATAGAATCTAAAGTACGATATAGTTTTCACTTTTTGAGAATGTTTATTCATGATAAAGTACTTACAAGTCCCCTAACTAACAATCTTATGAAATTGCGTATTCCTTTGTACCTACAAACTTTATATACATTATTAATGTGTTTATGGACGTGTAGGTATTAATTGATTGATTCGAACAAATTTTGAAAAATTATTACCTATATAATATATATACTTGTGTACGTGCGTCGCTATGTACAACACAAATGTACGATAAGTAACCATGTGTGCAAAATTTTTAATGATACTACCAAAGTAACGTCACAGCCGGTAACATCACTACTATCCATTCATTGATTTGCAAAAAAAGTGTGTCGGTTTGTCACCTTCTTCTAGCGTATACGTACATATTATGCAACGAACAAAAAAATATTTACGAGTCTCGATGAGCCAATACCTCTCTATATAGCCTTATGGCATCGGAACGATGTAAAAAAAAAATTTATGAGGTCTGTCAGAAACTTGCATACATACTGTCCAGCGACTATCCGACTATGATGATCGCATAATACGTATATATTAGCGGCAGTGCGCGTCAAACGGTAAAATGACGTATGCACGAAAAAGCTCTTTTTTTTACGATTTTTTGTCCTCCCTCTCTCCATCCCTATTTTCTTTTTCGATCTCTTCTTTGTTAATCTTTTACTATCTACTTACGTGTAGTTTAAAAACATAGAACAAACTGTAATAGAGCATTTTTTCCAATATCAATAGGATCCGAAATTTACGAATGTGCCTAATCTCGATGAGCTCAGGATCTAGTTTTCACGAAATCTCGAGGCTTCGTGAAGACTCCGGACGCTTTTAAACTCTGGTGTTGGGGTTTATGTCACTGGTGAAATGTAACTAAACATCAATTTGAAGTGGATGAACGTGCCTTGTCGCTCGTCGTAACTATATTTTACTAATTTTACAAATTATGTTCAATTAGTAGTCCTTTTATCCTAATGCCTTGAAAATTATCCTGGTTCAGTTAGAGTGGGTATAATAGAACAAGAGCTTGGAATTCGACCTTAAAAAAAATGAATCTATGGTTATATTAAAGTAGAAGGTAAATTTTAATCTTGCCTCGATTGGCACACATATGATGCAACTTTTCGTTTTCTAACCGTTGGTTAAAGTTGCGGCTAGTTTATAAAATCAACTACATGGTACTACCTTAATTACTACATAACTCTTCACCAGAATGAAATATCACAAAAATATTTTGGATCTTTACAAATCATGAAATTTTTCAATTTTGGTGAGTGACGGCTGATTTAGATTTTTTACTACCCTCGGGCCTCAGCTCTTGGTCGAGAGTGTGGGTGGGGCTGGAGGCTGGAGTGACCGAAAATCGAAAAAATGAGGACTAACTGGAAAAATAACCAGCCAAGCGGAGACTAGAGAATTTCTTCGAAAAGAAATATGGTTCATTTTTAGTTCGGGATCGGGCACGATAGACAGCGCTGATCGTTTTTAAAGTAGTTGCGTATCTACTGTCGGTACGACAGAGTGTTGGGAGTGTTGCCGTCGATATAGCAGAGTGTGTGGGTATTAATCGTCGGTATAGCAGGTTCCTTACTGTGCGAGAATGTGTGAGTGTATAGTGTCAGTGTGTGTACATGTGCGTAAGCTTCTGCACTGCAGTTCTGCTCCATATCTGGAGTCCAGAGTTCGGACGGATAAGTAGACATGGGGTGTATTCCGCAATCGCCGCCAGCCCAGTATGTGATGGCCACTTCGACTCTGAAATGTACACTTAAGTATCCCTTAAGCTTGGAAACATGGAGATAAAAAAAAACGTTCGCGTCTTACATCCGCCGAATATCTGCTGCTAAGCTCGTATCTGGTTAAACTGCATGTGACTTGCTGGTTATACTTATATTATCGTCGTCGAAGTCAACTATCCAAAATACAAAGCCCAAGTTTTCTGTACACGTTCTTCTTTAACCTGGTAGTACTTATGCTCTTCCCGAGTAAATATAAATAGAGGAGATCAAGTGAGAGAGGAGAGGAGAACAAATTTATGCGCTCGCCTCAATTTCCTTTTATAAGCAGCCGCACTGTCGCAGAGATAATTCAGTGAAATAATTCAGTGAAATCAGTGAAGTGTGTGTGTTTTTTGTGCGCCAGTGTCCAGTGTAAACTTTGGAGATGCTCTTGCGCGACTATCAGCTTATCTATAAGCTGTCGCGTGTACGATAAGAAAAAAAAAAAAAAAAATTATGAAAGAATAACTGTTGACATTTCCACTGCAATGAAAATGAAGTTGACGAGGACGACGACGATGATGAATAGTGTACAGCGAGAACAAGAGTTTTAGAGGACGGCCTGGAGAGTGGGTCGGCTCTCTCATCATCGATCGCACGGCTGTATATTGCTTATATACCCAGCAATCCAGCTTGTATTGCTGCTATTGTTGTTGCATCTTGTCATTATTCCATTGAGAAGGTGTACTACCAGGTTAGTTAATTATTTAGAATCACTCTTTTCATTTATTAATCATAAACGAATGATTAACTCAAGGCTTGTTATTATTAAGGGCTGACTTTAAGTTTATTTATTTTCATTTCCATTGTTTTTTTCTCGAGTTATTGTTTCACGTTTCTGTGGTGGTGATGATTAATGCGTGTACCCAATAGATGACCTACTTATTCATCTGGAAAATCATTATTGCTATGGTGTGTGACTTACGCCAAAAAAGTGTGTGTATTCGTGTTGTGTACACCATGTACATACATACTTGTACATACGTAAAAGGCAGTAGGTCTTTTATTTCATTACGTTTGCTCTTTTCTATTTTGTTGAGAACTTATACGATGCGAAAATACTCGGTTCTTTCGTTCAATAGTCAATAACGTTTTTTAGACTCGCATCATATTAATATAAAGAATTTGTGACGAGACATCTTACATACAAAAAATATTTGAAGCTATGCCAAACAACCTCATCAAAAATTTGGAAAATGCTTGTAATGCCAACTGTTTGGAATACATTTAACACATTTCCCTCCAGCAAAATTTTTAAATACATCATGTTATAATATTAAAAGTAATAATTTTGTATTACCATTATTTATTTATTTATTATTTTTTTTTTTTTTCATTACAAACGAAACTTATACTAACTGTTGAAACAAACACTACTATCGATTTTAAAAATAAAAATTGTTACTTGTTTCAAATTAAATAATTTGTATTTTCTCAACACCATAAAAGTTGTTGTAAACGTTGTACTACTTTTACTTGAACTTGAGAAACGACACCAATGAATTATACGATTTATTTTAATTTCTTACTATGATACATTATAAGAAAACTGATTAATTTAAAATGTGATTAATTTTTATTTATCATCACTATCATAAAAGTTTTTAATTTTTTCAACTCGAAAAAAAAAACTACACAAAAAAAAATTTTTACACATCTTGACTGCAGGATGAACTTTTCTTGTAATTTGAAACAGCTTAGCTGGATTAGCACGTAGTAACAATGATGGAGTTGAGTCATAGTTTGACCCTCAATGAGGATGCACTTAATCAAATTCCTGAAGCAAAGAGGCCAGTTTTCGTCTTCGAATGGCTAAGATTCCTAGACAAAGTTCTAGTAGCCGCTCAAAAGGTAACGCAACAAATCAATTGAATCCGCATGATGTTATAAAAAAAAAAAAATGTTAAAAAATTATTGAATTCTAAAAAAATTGACGCAACTTGAGAAAAATCAATAATTTTTCCGCAGAACGACATAAAAGGATGTCAGCAAAAGCTAGTCGAGCAATTGACGAGGCACATGCAAGGTGCGCCAGGACCGCCAACCCGGCGTCTGATAGCCAGGTGCCTCGCGACCCTCTTCAGCGTTGGCGATACGTTTTTACTATTCGACACCGTCAACAAGTGCAATGATATTTTAAAGAACAAAGATGACTCGCCGAGCTTTCTGCCCACCAAACTGTTAGTAATACATCATATCATGCACAGTACAAGTACCATACATTATACACCATCATCTGTGTGCTTCATTAATTAAATCGTTCAATGTTGACTTAATTAAACGCTGTTTGCTGCGGCTGGAGATCCAGTATATGTATATACACACACATAACAACATGTGCACACTCCCGCACGTAGACAGAATATTAGCTGCGAGAACTCGTTATTTTTAGATTGTTCAAGCTTTCACAAGATACCTCTGTATTTTGGACTGTACATTTACGTAAGCTCTCTTTAGGGGAGATTTAAAAGTAAATGCAGAAGCTCTATTGTTGGAGTATATGTCTTTCGTGGAAAAATCGACGCTTTACTTTATTTTTAGATGGCTCTGAAAAAAGCAACACAAATTGAATAGAGCCATTGTTTTATTTCTTATTTTTTTATCGTCACAAACCAGAGAGTACTTACACATTAAATCAATCGATCGATAAATTTGCGAAGCACTTTTGTGTATGGAAGAAAAAAATTCCGATTTGGCGAATAATAAAAATGAATGCTTTTTGTATCAGCGCTGCGATCTGCTGCGTCGGGTGCATGTACGAGAAACTCGGTCGAATGATGGGCCGTTCTTACGAGGAAACTGTGCAGATTCTGATAAAATCGCTGCGTAACGCGGAATCCCAGACGCGGATAGAGATCATGCATACCCTGGAGAAGGTAAATAAACGCCACCAGCGGCTTTCATTGCGATTCTACGGCTTTCTAAATACTTGTGGAGTCTTCTTCCCCTCTTACAACCCATCCCACGACTTTGACCTTGCGTGTTGTATATTTTTTTTTCTTTCACCAGGTCTGCGCGGGCATGGGTTCCGCCGTAACAAATGTCCACAAAGAGATCTACAAGGTTTGCAGGCATTGCCTTACCGATCGCGTTATGGCTGTGAGATGCGCCGCTGCTAAAGTTAGTACCTACTTATACATAAATGTGTTATCGTCTAATCCTCAAAAGGAATTTATTTTAAATTTCCATTGATGCGTGAAAATTTGGGAGTAAATAATGAACGGATTGCTTGCAGTGCATCTTGGAAATGCTGCACCACGCGCCCTTTTTGTACACGACGGAAATCGAGAGCGTGGCGACTCTCTGCTTTCGGGCTTTCGAAGGATCGAATTACGAAGTGAGGTGCGCGGTCGCCAAGTTACTGGGGACCCTCGTCGCGATGACGCAGTTGCCGGCTCCGAAGGGACAGAATCCGTCAGGTGAGCAGCCACGAAACATCACCTTTTTTTTTTTTTTTTTTTTTTATCTGTGATGATAATTTGGAAGATGATAAAGATGTTGGATTCTAAAACATAATACTCCGGTCTATTCGTTTCAGTCGTTCAAAACAAAAACATCAAGCAAATATCGAAGCTGGAGGAGGTACTGAACATCCTGATGTCGGGATTCCTGAGAGGTGGCGTCGGATTTCTCAAGGGGCCTGGAGAAATAATCAAGGGCAGCTCCGGCGTAAATCGCGAAGTTCGAGTTGGAGTCACACACGTACGTCTGGAGTATACTTGAAAAGTTTCCTATTTTTTTTTACTATTATTATAATTTTTTTTTTTTTCTTATTTTTATGTATAGATTCGACCTCGAAATGCATAAATTATTTTTGCAGGCGTACGTAATATTCGTTCAAATGCTGGGGAGCACATGGCTCGAGCGCCATATCGGAACACTTGTAGCACACGTACTGGATCTCGTTGCGAATCCAAAAGCCGCCAGTTCGCATGTCGATGCCGTTTATTCGAGGAAATGCATTAATTTTATGTTGAGGGGCACTATTGGCAAATTACTTGGCGAGGGCGCCCAGGCAGCCGCTTGCAAGGAAATAGCCCATATTATTTTGAAACAGATGAACTCCATTGGTATATATACCTTGTACATTTTTCATTTGAAAAGAATTCGAAGTTGTGCAAATTAATAAGTACATTCGAGAGTTGTAATTTGGTGTTTGGCTGTTGCAGATTTTAGTCCAGAGAATGCAAAAGATTGCAACCAGGAGACATTATTTGGTCAGCACCTGCTAGTCTGCGCGTTGCAAGAGATGGGAAATTTGATTCTTGGTTTGGGAACGACTGCTTTCAACATCTTGAACGACCAATCCTTGAGTAAGAGATCCTTAAAAACACATGTCCTTGAAAATAAATGAATTAAGAATCTAACATATCGATAAAAATTTACAGATCTCATCGAAACAACGATGACTGTGCTATTGCATCCTTGCAAAGCAGCCAGACTCGCTGCAGCTTGGTGCTTGAGATGCATTTGCGTGGCTGTGCCAAGCCAAATTACTCCGTTGATTGATCGATGTGTAGAGAGTATCGAAAACATGAGATCTTCTCCGGAAGCGATTACTGGCTACAGCAGTGCGTTGGCTGCGGTCTTGGGCAGCGTGCGCTTCTCACCACTTGGAGTCCCGCATACCAAGGGAAAGGTATAAGCGTAAAAGCTCGCTCGCTTACTCTTGTTGATTAAACATTCACATGATTTCAGATTATATTCAACACGGCTGAAGAGCTTTTGAGAAGCGCGAGTCAAAACAGCCGGTTGTCTTGGGACAGAACTCACGCGGGATGGCTTCTCATTGGAGCTATAATGACTTTAGGTATAGAGAAAACTGCTGAAATATTTCTTAATACATCGTGGGTGAAGTAAATGTTTAAATTTCACGTGTAAAATTTTGTATCTCAGGAACTGCCGTCGTAAAGGGACTTTTGCCTCGAATGCTGCTGTTGTGGAGAAACTCGTTTCCGCGTTCCAACAAGGAATTGGAGAGCGAAAAGGCGCGAGGTGACGCGTTTACGTGGAAAGTGACACTAGAGGGTCGTGCTGGAGCGCTGTCTGCGATGCACAGCTTCCTGTTACACTGTCCTGAATTGGTCAACGACGACATAACGAGGCGACTGCTTTCACCTATCGAATCTGCTCTTGGAATGCTAACTAAGTGAGTTTTATGCGTTTCGTACTTGATGCTTGTGTATTAGTAACGAGTGTCACTTGTACGGAATTTTAAATGAAAATTGTATTTGTGTTTGATTTCAGTATGACGACCGTATTAAAATGTTACGAACAGCAATTGAAGGCTCTAACAGCTATGGTTCGTCTAAGGCTCTATGAAACGCTACTGTTACTTCCGCCGCACACGTTTGAAAGTAATTAATAAAATATTCACACTTATTCTATGAATCTATTAAATTTTTACTTGACACTAATCTTTTCAATTTTTTGCTGTTATGTAGGTTCCTACACTCATCTACTGAGAATGTTAGTGTCGGAATTCACACTGGCAGACAACCCTAGTAATACAACAACAACTTCGTTACTCCGAACGGTGTGCCATGCTAACGATTCAGTTATTCTCGGAACTTGGCTTCAAGAGACTGATCATCGCACAATAGAAGACCAGGTACTTGATTTTGATTTAGAGTAAAAAATTGGAAAATTATTGTATTACTGGAAAAAAATTTCATAGAGAGAACGGTTATTTTTGTTCATTAGACATTAAGATTATTTTATTCGTATTTAGATGGAACCTAACAGAAAAGCTGATTTGGAACATGTGAGTAATGTGGTTTGCAAGAGAGAGAGAGAGAGAGAGAGAACTTCAAGTGTAGTTTATTGAGTTTTGTTTTCAGTTTATTAAGTAGCTTAATACAAACTTTTTTTACACCCTAATCACTATGTAAAACATTTTTGTTGTCCTTTGTATATACGTTAGAAGAATGACCAGCTTGCTCGTTTTTTTTTTTTTTTTTTTTTTTTTTAATAATGAAGAGGTCGCGTAATTATGACACGGCTAATCAGATCACAGAGTACACGACGATAAATCAAGTGACGGCTCGTCGTGTGTTTCAATTTTCTTCTAGACGAATATTAATGCTGATCCATCGGTTCTCTCAATTTCCACGAGTTTTTTTAATATTTCACAAGTATGTGATTAAAAATGACGAGAGCCCGCGTATATGTAAACACGATGTTTGTGGTGTGCTCGAGCACGTGTATATATATATATGTGTGTGTGTGTCATCAAAACCACTTGCTTCTAGACGTGTAATTTCAAGTTGAGTTTGCGAGATGTTCAATTATGATGTGTAATAAAAAAGTTACTTTTTCTTCTTGACGAGAAAATTCGTACATGCCACCGACAGGTCTAATTATTTGTTGATCACCGATACTTTGCAGCTTTTACGTGTTACATATAGTATGCTTTTAATCTTAAATACTTTTTTCAATCAGGAATTTTTCTTTTTTTTTTTTAATTAATGTCGATTGTATGTCAAATTTTTGGGTTTAAATACTTGTAAGTAATGATCGTGTGATAAAGTTCCAATCATCGTGTAAAAATCCTCGATATTTTCACGTCTAAATGCGTCATTAAACATAGTTAATTTTAGTTCGTACATGCATAGACTGTTTCAGTCAAAAATAATTTTGTTACTTTAATTATCATATACACGATAGGGCTAACTGACACCGGACTCGTGTTATTCTGAAATCATATCTTCAAGTACCCAAAAAACAGTATTTTATCAAGAGGTTTACTGTATATGCTCTGACCATATAATAAAATACCTTCACGTATTCCTCCGGTCTAAAAATATCCACGATTAGTGATAATATAAATACGAAGAAAGCCTGAAAGTATAATTGACACAGTAGAATAAATTCAGAGAAAACGTTGCCAAACATTTTTTTTTAAGTCGTACGCGAGGCAGACTTCAAATAAAACCCGTTTTGCAGCAGCCCTGAAATTGACACTGAGTGAGGTGTGCGCGCACTTTGTGAGAAACAATAATTTCTTTGAAAGAAAAAAAAAAAAAAAAATCTTCACAATTGATACTGCTTACCTGCATTGGTGCAAAAAACAAGTGCATGCAATAATTTAAATAGAAAACGTACGCGTATTGATACAACCCCTACCATACAAGTTGAAAAAAAAAAAAAAAAAAAAAAAAAAAAAAAATCACGCAGAGTATACATCAGACACATGACTGTGAACTCGTACGCAGTTCAAGTGCATGAGTTGCGATTAGACAAACTGATACCGATGATTTGCAAAAAATGTTGTTTACATTTTTATAAACATATATCAGCAATAAACGCGTTTCTCAACAAATTTTTCTTCCTCCCGTTACTTCTAACTATATATATATATATATATATATAACTGTATACATGTTAAAAGGCATTTTTCAAACAAAAGTCTGTATTAATGTATTGTTAACACACTTAATCCCCAAAATACTCACGTATATATGAATGTACATTTGAACGAGCATACGCAAATAAGCCGGTGCAGGTGTGCTCGTGGAGGGTAATCAAAGTAAACTCATATATTATTACGTATGGAGTGGTATTACGAGATCGCGTGGTGTATAATGTTGTACTTACACGGGAGGAGAGAAAGACCACGTAGGTATACTACCGATTACATCAGCGGACCTCGCGTTCTGTCCCTCTCTTTTTCTGGTGAACTATGTGTCTTGTATTCGGAGGACCCACCTGATGCGGGGAACTCCGCGTAGATAGTTTTGCGATCGATTTCATTGGTGTCTCCGTTGCATTTCTGGGATGAAAAAAAAAAAAAAAAGAAAAAAGAAAAATACCGGTTCAACTGCATAGGCGCACTTTCTCGCTGACTTTATAAATTTTATTGTCACACGTGCTAACTTTCATCAGTCACTGTTTAAGTTACTGGGTCACGCAGGGTTTTTTTTCCGATCGGCGCAGGTATGTGTATACTCACGATTAAAAACAGAAATTGGTCAACCTATTATTTATCTAATTTGTTACATCTGAGATTTTGTTGTTTGTGATTTTTGTAACATAAAAACTCCATTCTTTCCGTATATATAAAGGCGAGGAGTAGATAATGAGAAGAAGGAATTAAAAACATTCTTCATTATTTTTATTTGAAATTCAATTATAATTATTTTATTATCTTCTCTATATAAAAAAGAAAAAAAAAAAAAAAAAAAAAAAAAAAAAACGAGAAGTCCTGCCGTGGCAATTTCTTTGAAAGAAAAAAAGCAAGGGAAAGTCGTGGAGAGAGAGAGAGTGAAAAAGGATAAGAGTCGTAAACGAAGAAAGGGAGGAACAGCCGGTGCAAAGTAGCAGCGGAAGAAGAAACAAAGCGCGTATACATACATGTAGGTACGTACGGCGTGTAATACGCGGCAGTCCTTGGCCATTGTTCCCTTCTGTTTTGTCCACCAGCCACGGAGCATCCAAGTTTGTCCCATACCTACATAGGTACGTACAATAATACGCTTACGGTGGCGGTGAAAAAGCCTTACGCTTGGTTTTCTCGTGCGATCGCCTCGCTTTTTTGCAAAGCCCGGAGCTCTTTTGTTGCTGCTTCCTTTTTTNTTTTTTTTTTTTTTTTTTTTTTTTTTTAAAAAAAAAAAAAAAAAAAAAAAAAAAAAAATTGTTGCAGTACATAGTACTCACATCGATCAAAAAATCACTCGATGAAAAATCAGTTCCGCACGATCGTCCGTCTATGGTGCAGTTATAATCTCACGTGCAAGTATAATGTAAAATATGCCATAATATACTAGGCGAGAAGTTGTTGCCATTCCCGGAACATTTGCGAATAGGTACCATCAGGGGCATGTTTTATGGTTACAAGCACCGACGACTCTTTGCCCGCCACTTGAGAAATTTACCTAAGCAGCACGTTGGGGGCTATCATATACCTGCATGTCATACATGCCTCTGTGCTGCTTCTGTCGTTGCAATGATTACTCACGTACGAAATTCGTGCTGGCTAATCGCCGTGGACTGCAGTATATAGCTACCTTGTCATACTTATTACATTTAAAATATCAAAGAGTCTCGATTGTCTGTTGATAGTGGTGGTGTGTAATGTTTATGCCAGGACAATTAGTCGATCGCACGCGTACTGACAAATGTTTTGCTTGTATACGATACTTATTAAAAGTACCGGCTTGTGTTTGATGTGCGGTTGTAAACGCGCGCGCGCAACTTTAATGGTTTCGGGGCAAAATCAGTGTTGGGTCTTTGGCATGATAATGCCTATAAGGTGTAAATTCTACGGAGTACGGATCAATAATGATCGGTTTTTCGGTGATTACTTCTGATTTCAACTTTCTTTTTTCTTTTCTTCCTTTCTTTACATAAACACAGCATGAAAGTAGAGTTGAATATGAAAATTTGGTATCACATTTTTTTTAATTCAAATGTATAAAAATTTCAACCTGTTCGCAAGTTCAAATAATTTTTAAGAGCATTATTTCCATCCATCCACTGGCAGGGTTAGTCGGATGACATGTAGGTAAATTTTATAGTTACGCCTCTATGCAACAGAAAATAAGCTTTTCGAATGATAATACCTTAGACGTATACTTATTTGACTACAATATCATATTTCGAAATATGTATTTACTGTAAAAATTCAGTATATTTTTTAATGCGTCTTAGCAAACAGTACAATAATATAAAAATACTTATTTAATACGAAATACTGATCGAGATGGCTCAAAGAAAACTGGTAAGTAAATTGTGATAATTAAATAATCAATTCTGGAATTCATACTGATGTTTTTTTTTTGTTTTTTGTTTTTTGTTTTTTTTTTTTTTTTTCAATACAGTACAGTTAAAACCTTTTCCTGCTTATTGCCTATGTAATGTTCAACTGGGTTGATGCTTTTTTTTTCAATTTCTATTAAAAAATACGTTTAACGTCCAACTCCACCCACAACTGATTGTTTGAAAAATCTCAAGTAGATGTACTAGAAGAGAAAAATACCAATGAAATACGTAGCATTGACCCACCTGTGTGTCTCTCTCCGATGCAACCCACTGGCGCTCCCACGAGAGCCGAAAGTATCGAAACGTTCAAACGATCAATCACAACTCGCGAACATCACTATTTCCGTGTACCATCAGCGCACTGAGTCCTACCGGCGCAAACCGCGCACTCGATCGTCCAGCAAAGCCTAAAATTCCCTTGCGAAGGGACCACCGAATGGTGCTTCGACGAAAGATCGGTGAGAAAATCGGATGAGAAAAATCAGAGCTGTCGCGCGCGCTCCTTTCCAGCGCCCGTCTCGACCGTCAACAGCAGAGCGTCGTCTCTCTGTATCTCGGCGCGCTCTTGTGTGCGCTCACAGTGCCTCGGCGCAGATTAAATCTCCGAAAGGGATACAGAGGGAAAGAGAAGCTTTGGTGGCGCGCTCGCGCGCCCGTATATATACGACAACTTCCCTCTCTTTTTGCTCCGAGAGAGTTGTCTCTCCCGCTTGTTCCCTCCTAATCTCGCTGGACCCGCCACAGCCTCTCGCGCGTGTAAAGCTGCCCCCGCTTTTCCTTCCTGCTCTTCCCTCCCGCCCTCTGCTGAGAGATTCTCTGAGAAAAATTTTTTTTTCTTATTTCTCCTCAAACCTTATTTTGAGCCGACTTCGCACTCGGTGCGCGTATGGAATTGTTGCTGATGCCGATCCATTGACTCTAGAGCTCATGTTCATAGTAGCGAGCGATCGCACGATCGTCGACCGAGTGGAATTTATTTTCAATGACAGTTTTTTCTTCTTCTTTGGGCACACCACGGACTATTACATCGTTACTATACCTATCGAGACTTTGGAATTTTTAACGTGTCAAACGCGACGTGTGGCTATTAAAATTTTGAGGTCGCTTCATTACGGTTCCTGGAATAATTGATTTAATTACTGGGTAACGCGTGCGTGGTGAATAATTTTTTTTTTCTTTAGTCGAGCTCCGGGCATTTCCAACGTTTCACCTACACACGCACACCTTTTAACGATACAACACGCGTGTGTTTGGATTTTCGGGCACGACTGATCTATATTTTAGTAGAACGAAATATTTAATTACAGAGTTTGAATCGACTACTTTTTTTTTCATTTTCTTTTTTTTTTTTCATATAAATCTATGCATACCGGTACCTCAACTCCATCAGGGATGTAAGAAAGAAAAAAAAAATTAGTTTTTCGCGTGCCATTTAATTTTCTATCAGGAACAATTTTACAGGGCTGCTTTTGTGTACTGTAAACGATAATAGGGATTCTGATACTGGTATACGTGAGTATATATATATATATATATATATATATATATACACACGAGACGTGACGTTGCGATTGCGATGGTTTGGTGTCGATATGCCCAATGCACCTCTCGACGACGAATCCTCCGTATTTGTCGATATCTCCATTATCACCTCGACCCTTGCAGAGCTTCTGTATCTTCTATCTATGATATAAAGCAAACTCCAAAAAAGAAAAGCCGCACTGCAGCGAACATTGGTGAATTGCCATGCTGGTTCGTTAAAACTACTTCGGACTAACATTTTCAAGAGAAAAAAAAACTGATTCGTATTGATTCGTCAATATTCATGTCCATGTGTAAAATATGAAACGTATCCGTGCACGTATTTTTTTGTACATAATTGTATAGATATTTGCCTCGTGTATCAAGAGTTTGAATAAAATAGCCTTGGCAGTGCCCTTGATACCGATTTTTCGCTTACACGTATATACATACACTGTCAGACCCTCACGCGCTCCAGCTCTGGTACTGCAACTCCTGCGGCTCGTATATTATAGGTACTCGTGTGACATTTACGCAGATCAGATTATCTATGGTGCAACTGACACGCGCTGCAGTGCATTTTTCGACGCCACGACTGTTGGATCACTCGCCTGTTGACTCTGCAGTCCTGTGCACTCTCTCATATCAAGCAGGATTTCACCGAACGAAGGTCCTTTTATCGCGCACCTCCTTTTGCTCTTTTTTTTTTTCTCTTCTTTACCTCTTTTTTCTTGCAAAATCCTGTAATTTTTGTCATTACATAAAGTTCTCGCGTTTCTTTACAATGTGGCTGCACGGGAGTGATAATCACAGATTGCATCTCCCCTTGCGCGCACCAAAGTCCTCGCCATTATCACACATCCATCTCTCTCTCTCCCTCTTTTTTTCCCCTCGGTGCGAACAGGAAAAAGAAAAAAGAAAAAAAAAAAAAAAACATAAAATAGCTATTTACGCGCGTGACGAGGATTTACACGCTTGACTTTAAACTTTCATTAGTGCGAGATGCGTTGTTGTAGTATCTAACAAAAAAAAAGCTGAGCCTGTACAAGTCATAGGCTATATACCTAGTGGTCGGTGGTAATAATTAAAGTGTCGTCCTACTTTTAACGATCGACACAAAGGTCGCTGTACGTTTGCGAGGATGAAGGATATAGGTTATTATTCAGTTGCGAAAATACACTCGAGGGGATATATTCCTACAACTTGGGTGTGATCGAAGCCTAATAAAAAATTTGTACGAGCACGGGGACGATTTTGAGAGCATATTATAATGTGATGGTTTTTTTTTTTTTTTTTTTTTTTTTGCGATAAAAGGTTCATTGGATTGGTTCAAGGATCGCGGGCGTTCAATGGCATTATTGGGCGTGAATCAAGTCTAAACATATATAGTGGCCGTGAACATTTGACCAAGTATTGCATGTACAAATGAGGTGTGCGATCAATCATAAAAATGACTCGTGGCACGTGTTTACGATATGCTTGATGACTTTTGATTTTTGAACATTTAATATCATCTGTGATGAAATCTTTTTTTCTTTATCTGCTGCTTTATTTGTCGGGATGTGAATTTCATTACCTTCTGGCCTATGGACTCTGCGGAGAGAGTCTACTGTATTTGCCTTTAATTATAATCATCGCAAGGGAATGTTTGCGTTACAAACAATAATAGAAAAACTTTTGTTGTTGCTCTGCAAACTATCTCTCATTTGAAAAAATAAACTGAACTGGCTACCATGATTTTTTTTTTTTTTTTTCTTTTACCTGCGCCTAAAATATAGGAGGTATCGCATACAATAAGCCCGTGTGTGAGCTGGTTCACAGCAAGGGTGATCTATTGGTTTATTAATCACGAATCCTGCAGCCACCTCGAGAGCAACTGGTCCTTTTTTTATAATACTACCGGCATNAATTTTCCTTTTTTTTTTTTTTTTTTTTTTTTTTTGATTTCGATTCATTTTTGTTGAAAAAGTAGTAGCAAATATTACAAAATATGATTTAGTTCCATTATTAGTTACTTTTCAGCAATCACAGTACTCATGTTTTTGTTTTTATTTTTAGTTTTAATTACGACTTAATTTAATTTACAGCTTTTTAGCATGTGCGTGTGTTAATAATAATTTACTGAAATTAGTTGCAGCCCAATAGCGCGGCTGGATCCGGAGCTTTGGAACACAACTCATGTTGCCTCTATAGACCCATACCAGCGGTAAGTTACAATTATTAGATGAATACCAAGTTCTTTGTTCAATTTCTATTTTAGAAAACTTGTAATACTTATTTCCACTGTAGGACGAATCCCTGCCTGGTCCATTACCTTTGGGCGTTGCAGTCATCGACATGTCAGTGTCTCTATTTGGACAAATCTTTCCACGAGTTGCCAACAAACACCGGCTGCAAATGCTCGACCACTTCAGTGAATGCATAAAGCACGCCAAGTCGGGTAGACAGGAGGCAGTTCAGATGAACGTTTTTACAGCCGTGCTCAGTGGGCTAAAAGGCCTCAACGAGGCCAAGACCGGCTTTGGCCAGGAGGACGTCAAAAAGGCAGCCACAAATCTCATCATAGTACGTGAAAAGTAATTCCAAACATGACCGAGTGACTTTAAATCGTTTTACATTCTTACGTTTACTTTTGAAGGGATCGCTTTCGAGCCACAATGCAATTTTACGCTGGGCTGCCGGTGAAGCGGTAGGTCGTATGGCTCAGGTCATTTCCGATGCCAAATTCACCGCGGAAATGGCACAAACGAGTTTCGATCGTTTAAAGTCGGCCCGAGATGTGGTCACTCGAACAGGCCATTCATTAGCACTGGGTTGTTTGCACAAGTATGTCGGTGGCATGGGCTCTAGTCAACATCTAAATACCAGTGTCAGCATTTTACTTGCTCTCGCTCAGGATAATTCGTCTCCCGTTGTGCAAGTGAGTCGTGATACTGATTCCTCCGTGTAAATTGTGATATTTGCAATGTGCATTATACCTTAATATTGTTTTTCAGGTGTGGGCATTGCATGCACTAGCTCTGATAGCTGATTCTGGAGGGCCAATGTTCCGAGGCTACGTCGAGCCAACTCTTTCTCTTTGTCTGACCCTTCTGTTAAATGTTCCGCATTCGTATATCGACGTCCACCAATGCATCGGTAAAGTTCTGTCAGCACTTATCACCGTCATCGGACCCGAGCTTCAAGGAAACACTTCGTCAATATGCATGGCTCGCTCCTCATTTTTGTGTGCTTGCGCCATTATGCAGGACCACCAGGATTCTCTTGTACAAGCCGAAGCAACGGGATGCCTCCAGCAGCTGCACCTTTTCGCACCGCGCCACGTCAATCTTTCTTCCCTCGTTCCTACGCTATGCGTGAGTTTTTTTTTTTTTTTTCCAAAAATCCTCGCATTTGTGTACTGAACCAAGGATTTAATTAATAATAATTACAGCGAACGTTGTCGAGCAATCACCTGCTACTCCGCAAAGCCGCGATATCCTGCCTACGACAGCTAGCGCAGCGTGAAGCAAAAGAAGTTTGCGAGCACGCAATGACACTGGCAAATGAGAGCCGCGACACAAACGTTGTCGAGGGTCTGGTGATAACGGAAACAGGCTTGCCTGGTGTCCTCTTTAGTATGCTCGATACCGAGACGGACAGTCAACTGATCAAGGAGATCCACGACACGTTGACCAGCATGCTCCAAATTCTCGCATCAAACAACCTGTCACCCTGGCTGTCGCTTTGCAAAGATGTCCTAACGGTTGCTACAGGTATATGGAGAGGCATATTAATCATGTGCCAAATGTGTCGCTTTGATGTAAAAGCATGCTATTAGGTTTTTTTTTAATTAAAACAACATACTTACAAATGCACTTTGACAAAATCCTAGAATCGAGTACACTTGATGAAGCAGCTAATATAAATCCTGAGGAAACGTCTGGTGATAACGAGAATGTAGATGGTGAGGGCGACGATGATCAGGCTGAGTTTCACGCTGATGAATCTTCGAAACAGCGTCAAATGATATCACCTCGCTGGCCGACCAGAGTCTTTGCAGCTCAATGCGTTCGACGTATCATTACTGCCTGCGCAAACGACAAGCAGGTGCATTTTGATTTGGCTATGGCTAAGGAGATGCAAAATACAAAAGGAAAAGGTTAATCTCCATTCCCCATTTTGAAGGAAAGATTACAGAATAAAGATTTTATAACGATTTTTTGAACCCTCTTTTCAGGTGATTTCCTCGTTTTGTATTTATCAGATTTAGTTCGAATGGCATTCATGGCGGCAACGAGCGATTGCGACTCTCTTCGTTTGGAAGGATTGAAAACACTCCAGGAAACCATAGATAAATTCGCCAAAGTACCAGAACCAGAATTTCCTGGTCACCTTTTACTTGAACAATTCCAAGCTCAGGTATATCATCGATCTACGTGCCATCGCGTACATACATGATTTCTAATAGAGAAATAAAATAATCATAATAATAAATTAGGTTGGAGCCGCGTTGCGGCCAGCATTTTCCGCGGAGACATCACCTCACGTTACGGCTGCCGCTTGCGAAGCCTGTAGTGCTTGGATCGGGAGTGGCGTGGCACGTGATCTTAACGATCTACGAAGAGTGCACCAGCTCCTGGTGTCATCCTTAGAAAAGTTGAGAGAAGGTCACGCGCGTCCTCAGTTGTACAACGAGAGTCTATCGACACTCGAGAGACTGGCAATATTGAAAGCTTGGGCAGAGGTTTACGTCGTAGCGATGATAAAAGACGGATCAGCGTTGGATAATAGGGAAATTACGAATAAAAATAACAATCAGGAAAATAATGAGGAAGATGGAGAAGGGTTCGGAGAATTTGAATTTCAGAATGAAAGTCTGCTCAGTCTAGTACAGCCTGAACTTCCGAGTTTGAGCCAACACTGGCTTGCAGCTTTACGAGATCACGCATTACTCTCTCTTCCTCCTGGTAAGTGGTTTTACTATTAATACTGAATCAAACTACTGTTTTTCACTTTTTTACACTCTTTATGTTTATTTCAACTTTATTTTTTTATTTTTTTAGAATTTGCGAGTCAATTACCACACGATGGTGGAGCGTTTTATACAACGGATACCATGGAGTTAGCTCGCCCTTACTATTTAAATTCGTGGGCCCCAATTTTGTATGCTGCGACACTTTGGCTCAACGTTAGAGGCTTTGAATTAAATGAGACTACTGATTTAAATGCCAAAAAATCTGATGGAACTAATAATAATCACACTGTTAAGACTGGCTCGAATAAAGAACGATTTCATTTACTATATGGTATAAAATATTCGCATTTTGAAATAAATTTGGTAGTTTATCAATAATAACGTATTAATCAATTTGTTTGATATAGGCATTTGCATGGAGGCTTTGTGCAGCCCACGTTCTTCTGAATCCACCCAAAACATTGAAACTTGTTTAAGTGCTCTGTATACTTTACTCGACTCCTTGTGGGCTAGGAAAGTTCTTGTTGTCAATAAATCTCTTCCAATTGAACTTTGTAATGTTCTTCACAGGTAAAAATCGAGTTATAGATCGGTTGTTTTTACTCATTAGATAAGTTTTGTATGTAATAATATATTTATGCGCAGATTACTATTAACGAACGAAATCTATTCAATTCAAATAATGGTAATGGAAGTTTTGAAACAAGTTATAAAAGCAAATCAAGAAGACTTGACAGAGAGGAAAAAAGCTAAATTAAGAGGTAAAGTATGGCCCTTAGAGGAGTGAGAAAAAAATGTATTTGAAGAACGATACTTTATTTTTGAAAAATCTTATATAGAATTAACGTCGGATGATGATGAAACGAAGGACGTACCTGAGCTAGACTGTCTGGGCGAGGGAGAAGATGCTTCCGAGCTGATGCCAGGAAAGTCACTAGTATTTGCAGTTCTAGAAGTGTGCCTATGCCTATTAGTCCGTCAAATACCACCGTTAAATCCTAATCCTGGTGGAGCAACGGCTATTTTAAGCCAGCGAGGCTACTTGCCCACCGATGAAAGCGGAAAGCTCATTGCCGCCGCTTTATCAGTCATGGAAACTCTTCCAAATCTATGCTCGCCAACTGGATCCGTCATGATTTTACCGACACTTTTGTACCTAACGACTGGTGTTGTTAGGGAAACAGCGGTACGATCTGAAAACAACTACATTAAAACTGGTACCGACACGCCGGTACACGCAGCGCTACATTGCTTGAAGAATCTTGCCATTCACAAATACTCCAGGGATCCTCGAAGTCAAAATCAGTGGACCGCGCACTTGCAAAGCGCTCTTGCAAAAATTATAGACCTCGCCAAAACTGGTAAAGAACTCCCTTTGAAAAAAAAAAAATAATAAATAAAATTTTCTCATTAAAAATTGTAAATAAAATAAAAATATCTTACAGGGAGTGACGAAACTAAAATGGACGAGGTTGCCATGATGCTGGGCATAGCTGTTTTCGTACTTCACGCTCTACCAGAAGTCGTCAGTCCACCAAACTTACAGTTCCCATGTATAAACCACTTCCGTCTTGTCATTCAGTCTGAAAATATTTATGTAAGTTGGTGAGGTCATTATACATTAATATTTATTCAAATATAACGTATAAATTCTTTTTTTTTTTTTTCACAACCGTACAGATAAGACTCAAATGCGTGCAAACTCTAAGAACGATCTTTCTTCAACAAGATCGCAGTATAAGTACGCCTTACATTCACGCACTTGCTCCAAGAATAGTTGAGTACTTGTACAGTGATCAGAGCAAGCAAGTAACAAATGACGAGGAATTACAATTCACTTTGGAATGCATTACGACGGTCGATAGTCTCATCGCATTAGCAGAACCTACGCGACGTAAGTATTTTTTTTAACTCGTATTCTAATTTTCCATCTGTTTGTCAAACTATCCGTTTCAATCATGTTTCATGCCACCAGATGACATTTTACAAGGTAAAATAAAACGATCCAACATACACTTACAAAGTGTATTTTTACGTTCTGCTTATCACGCCTATGTAAATCTACATTGAACAGTTTTATTAAAAAACATTTATTTGTTTTAAATTGAAAATTGCGTCTGCGATGTAAAACCTATACTCTTGTCACGAATTCACGCTGCATACACATTCAATTTTTTGTATGATTTAAAACAGAAAAGTAAATATTGTTTTCCGTTTTATAGGTATCCAAATACTGACGCTGTTGGTTCCAGTTTTAATAAATTATTTATTAGAAGGAGATGAACTTCAAAAAGGCACCAAACATCAAATTAGTCTTCATCAACATAGCTTCCAGTGGTTAAATAAGATTGGACCAAAATATCCTCAGGTCTGGACGGTGATTCCTATTTTTTTTTTTTTAAATGTACGTACGAAATAAAAGCTTATTAGATGCATTTTTTAATTCTCAGGAATTTAAAACTTTGATGTCGCAGTCAACGGAGTTGAAGACTAAGCTTGAAAATGCCGTGCGTTTGACTCATCAACAACAAGCTCAAAAACAAACGAAAACATTAGAAACTACTAAGTCTCAACTCAAAGTACCTACACCATCTATTACTTTAAAAACAGATTTTTCGAATTTCAGTTAAGTTAATAAATAAATTTTATCCCAACGCTCAATATTTTTAAAACCAGTAAAAGGGGTACATAGGTGATACATTGCACAATGTTGTTAGTTCGTACTGAGCATTAAAAAAAAAAAAAAAAAAAAAAAAAAAAAAAAAAAAAAAAAAAAAAAAAA